ATGAAAAAAAAAAAAAATAACACCAACAAGCTTGTCTTTAACAGCAAACATAACGGCGCCTGCATGTTCAGCTGCATTCCCGACAATCGGCAGCAGGATAACACTAATAAATGCTACCGGAATATTCATCGACACAGATGCTCCCTGAAAGAATTTTCAGAATAATGTACCCGTAAGTATAAATTAATAAATAGAACACCACTCACTAATCGTTTGTTCCTTTCACCTAGCTTTCTTTTTATATTTCATTTCTTAAAGGAGAAAAATACTTTAATTTAATACACAGTGTTGCAGTAAAACTACATGGAAGGCATGTGAAAGTACTTTTTATCTAGAAACAACTTTACGGATATAACAAAGGAAAGAGGTGGTCGCATTTGTTATTATTAGATCAAGAAATCGTAATGATAAAAGAGTAGTTACCTCTATGGCATTAACTAAATATTCTGACAAGACTGATATCAAGGAAGTTAACATAAATAGCCACACGACTGATTCCCACTTTGAGATATCTGGCACGTCATTGTCATCTGAGTCCTCACTAGCTGGACTCTCTTCCTAGAAGAAAGCCATCAAAAGATGATGAGGATGATAATAATAATAATAATAATAATAATAATAATAATAATAATAATAATAATAATAATAATAATAATAATAAGTATCCAAATGATTCGTGAGAAAAAAATCCCACCCATTATTGTAGCGAACATTGTATTGGAAAGCCACAAAACTTTATTTAAAAATGAAAAAAAAAAGGAAAATATAGAAGATGGTCGATTATCTTCAATGCTTTATCACAACTTTTTCTTGAAAAATTGAAATATGACAATTAAATAAATATCTCCAATATGAAGAGTGGTCATGATAAAGGAGAGATCTACCTCCTCATTTAAACGGGCATAAAGGTTCTTCTGAGTGGTCAGCTGGAAAAAAATGTATGCACCATAAGCTACCAGCATAATGCAGCTGCTAAACCTCGAAAGTGCCAGCTCAGACTTTCCGAAATGCAATTCAGTATGTGTGAAGTGGAGAACAGCTGGAAACATGAGACCCATAACCGCCATCAACAGCAATCCAGAATTCATTGTTGCAGATGCCTAAAAAATTTGAAATAACAAATCCATGAAACTAAAGCAATGAATAAATAGAAGTTAGTTAACCATAATTGAACATATAATTCATAGCATTGTCCCATGTTAGATCATATGGTGAAAACTAACGCAACCAAAAATAAAAAATAAAAAATCACCAACCTTGTCAAATACTTGTTCCCTTCTAAAATGAATAATCCCTCCTCCAAAAAGGGCACATCCAAGCACCAACAACATGTTAGAAAGAATCGACCCAAGCAGTGATAACTGAACAACACGAATCATGTCTCTTCTCAGAGCATACATAGATATTATTAGCTCGGTTGCATTGCCAAATGTAGCATTTAGAAGACCCCCAACTGAAGATACACAAAACAAAGTCATTGTAAAGGGCCTTTATATCGAATTACAGGAACAAATCTGACAAATAATATTTATTTAGCTAAACTTGTCTAAGTGAAATTTCAGGACGACAACAATTCTGATGCTTAAAACACAAAATGCTAACACAGATGCATGTAAGTTAGAGAAATACAAGAACTGTGGTTCTGCAGGAATTGTACGATAGTGTAATAGAATGATCTTACTCCTGAATGAGCTAAACTGTGATCTAACTAATCATACTTTTAGTTTATCACAAGTACCAGAGAAACAAACATAACATTATAGTTAAGTGGCATACATACATCATACTTGCTGCACTATACAAGCACAAATACACTATTTTTCTTTTGTTCTGTACAAGTGGGTATACAGTAGTTTTACACTTTGTATCCAAAAATGAAAGGAATTAGTAGAACCAAACCTGTAGGGCCGGTAAAGAATGCAAGCTGCCTGCACAAAAGAGAAAGTCAATTACAATTGTATCGTCTACTCAACAATACGAGCAAAACAAAACTTTGGTATCATGCAAATCAGAATATTCTTTACGTCACACATGCACGACACTGGCAGGAAACTTATGTCAGGATATAAAACTGAATTTCCTGTATATGTAACCATTTCACATTGTCATTTGTTATCAATGAAAGACGTGTATTACTAATAAAGTACAGAGCCTTGAGGCCAAATAGACTTCTCCAGAGTTGGGTTAAGAGATTGGATTTGCAGGGGAACAAAATTGTAACATATATGAGTAGCTTTGCAAGCTTCTATAAATACTATCCACTTAAAGAAGAGATATTGAGAGCATACTCGGTAGCCCAGCCCAAACGCTCAGCCAAAGGAATGATGCCCAATAAACTTAGAAAGAAGACCCATCCCTGAAAATACTCTGATCACTTAATTAGTCAACATACAAGAAAAAGAAATTGCATCTCGGGAAGTAATTTCTTATGGAAAAAAGTTTGTAACTTACTAGATGGTGGTTTGTTAGCTTATCAACTAATATCGCCAAAGGACCACATGGTATCAACAAGTTTAACTTGTTGGAAAACAAAGCAATCTTTATGCTGCGCAATATGCTCCTCAATATACTTTTACGACCAAAGTGTTCTTGTCCATCCCTAAAGGAGGGTCTTTGTGGAGCTATATCCAGAGAAGACGGCTTCCGATCAACTGGTTGTTGGTCGACAAGCTGCAGGTTTTCAAGGTCTGGGCCATCCAGCGTTGATTTTCCCGCCAATGATCCCATCTATAGAACAAGGATTATACTGATTAACTTCCAATTTCCGAGAATATCAAAGGCAGCATACTTTACCGAGAACTAGGAGTTTAGGTTATGACCAATTATTCGGCACAAATTGGCTACTGTATAAAATCATGATTGCACATAACTTTTGATAGCCACTAGAAATGTTGACTGTAATGATTTGATTTGATTTATTCAATCAAATAAAACTCTATCTTTCTTACAATACCACGAAAAGCACTCGACAGTCGTCGATAGATAGTCTTTCAAATAACTTGATCTCAATAATCCTAGACATGATTGGTTGAAAGACTAACATCCATACTCATATGTAATGCTATAAAGGAAAATGCTGATACACAAACTCAATCCTCCACCCACAATCTCAAAACCATTCAGCCTCATGCTGATACACAGACAGAGGAAAATGCATATAAAAGATAACACTACCTCCATGAGTGCAGTCTCAATCGACACATCGAATTTGTTCAGATAAACATTATAAGTAGTTTGAAAAGGTGTCACCAGTACAAAATCATTACATCACATGCTATAATTGCAAGCCCTTCAACTCCCCTCGAGGAACAAGGCTAAAAACGAAGCCAATCAATATACCCAAGTTGCTAAATAAATTAAGAAAAAAATCCCAGAATCAACTTAAACGTTCTAAACGTAAAAAACACTTGCTTTTCACATATACATGGGATAAATAAAAAAAAAAAACATCAAAATTCACGAATATTTAAGCAACATAAATGACCAGAAAACGATTTGCGATTAGAAATTCCACACACGCAAAAGGCAGTTAGGAATCCATAGAGTGGAAAATTCAGACCGTTGTGAAGTCAACAACTGCTGCGAGCGTGGTCACTCAGTGACGCGCATGCTTTTCCCGATCGTGAGGCTATTGAAGAAAGTAAGCTCTTTATGCATCAATTAGGGTTGAATTTGGGATGTGACAAGTTAACGTTGAAAATTCAGAACCTCGGTGTGAATTAGGGTTTCTAATTCCGACCGTCTGGTCGGATTGATGGTGTCGTCGGCGTGAAAGGAAGGCGAGTCGGCCGGTGGCTTTTCCGACGTGAGGGATCCACGTAAACCCAACGCCTGTGTATGTACAACCTTCAAGGCCTATTATCTGTGAATAAATTAACCAGCCTATTATTATCTGTGATATGGTTTGTTATTCAAAATTCGATCGTAATATATATTCGTATCCGAGAATTTTCTATTTGGGTAAAAATGTTAATTCTATATTCAAAATTTATCCAAACTCGAATTCTAGGATAGGCATGTATGTTTCTTTTAGAATTATTGGGTATCCAATTGGTTAATAATAGTTATGTATAATTTAATTAATTATATAAAATACATAATTTTATCCACATTATTTTCATAAAAATATTAAAAGTAAATATATTTATATTTGAATGTAAGTTTGTATTATATATGTTTGTTTGTTTATAAATAATTTTTGTAAGCATTTTTTTTTTCCAAAACGATAGAGATTTGTATTACTAAAGCTCAAACGATAATCAAGTTTGAATACAATAAGTTACACGAACTCCGGAAAGACTAGAATGAGAGGCACACATAGAGTGACCTAGAACATCAACAAAGACACAAAAAATGAATAAAAATTTAACACCTGATCACTACTACAAAGCCTTGCTACAAAGTCTTGCTACTAAACAAAACCAGCTGAAACTAACAAGGATGAGAAAAACAAAATAGATAGTAATAAACAAACACTAAAGCTGATACATTAGAGGGATGACTTTGAGGCACGAGAACAGTCCAACCAATCATTCTGAGCTTCTTTGATCAACCTGTGCACCAGGATCAAAGACTTTTGAAAGACTCAGAGATTTCTTGACTTCCAGAGCCACCAAATTGAATAATGTATATTCTATTAATTTTAAAAATTGAATATGAACCACGTACAAATTAAATTATGCTTTAATTATTACAAATACTTGCATGTTTTTACAGATTGAAACCACCTCAAAAGTGGTGTAGAAAGTTGAAGTTGACTACAATAAATCCACTCTCTAAAATTTGTCTGCCCTAACTTCCTCTGTACCCCAAAATCCGTCGCCTCGCTCTTCTCCTTGGTTGCTCGCGTGCCTCCCTCAGCGGCTAGCCGGGCCTTGCCGGTGATCGTCCCTTGACCGCACGACCATGGCCTCGAGGGTGCGCTTTCCTAGGTCAGCCGTGTCGGGGGATGTGGCCAACGGTCCGCGGCCGGGTTTCTCCGAAAACCTGGTGCCGATTCGTGGTCGAGGTTCGTCGGCATCCTTGATTTTGCGGTGGTTTCGGGTGGGTGTGGCAGTGGGGACTGGGCGGCTCGGGATGCTTTCGGCGGCCGGGGCTGAGGCACCCCTCTTACTTCTTATTCCTCCGATTTTCCCTGGCGTGGGGGTTCGTGACGATGCCGCTGTCCTCGGACTAGGCCAATGGTGTTGGTCGGATTCGGGGCATTGGTGGTGTGGGGAGGTGAGGATGGGTTTCCCTCCGGCTGATGGGCGGGACGACTCCTGGAGTGGTTTGGGTTTGGGTTTCGGCTTTAGTTAGGCTTTTGTCGGCAGTTTCAGGAGCGGTTTCTTAGACTGATATTGTAACACCCCGCTACTATTACTAAAATTAGAGTGAATTTTTCGCGCTTTATCATCGAAAAACACTTATTTAATTTTCAAAAAAAAAATCTAATTTTATTTTCGAAAACACCTTATCTTTATCCCGCGGGATGCTACTTACTATTTAACTAGCTTTATCTCTTTTAAGACATATAGACAAATAGCACCCTATTCAAAACGTGGATCCGCTCCTGGACCCGTGGAATCGGGACGACCACATGAAAGTGAAGAACTAGTACAATACCCGTGTATTACACGGCTGCTAGTTAAGAAATTTATAAATAAAAATTAAAATAAAAAATATTTTAATTTTCCAATACTTATTTGAATAACTATATTACTATTTATATTTAAAATAATACCCATCACTTATAAGGTTTACCATCTTATATTATATATTTTTTTAAAATCATATCATATGTAAACTTTGTAGTTAAATTGATTTAAATATTTTTAATTTTTTAATTAATACCAATAGGTAGTTTATTTCAATGGGCTTGTTTGGAAACACTTATTGATAAGTCCATTTCAAGATGAACTTTTTGAAAAGTGACTTCTCAATAAGTCTTCAATATAAACTTCTTTGAAATGAACTTTTTGTAGGAGTTACTTTTTTAAAAGTCCATTTTGTTGTTTACACCAAACATCTTTTTATATTGGAAATGGACTTTTATAGTCAAAAGTCCATTACAAAAGTGCTTCCAAACATACACATTATTAATTTCATATATTACGTATAAAAAAATGATAATAAATAAAAATTATTAAATTTTAAATCTAACTCATTAACTTTTTCCTAATTTTAAAAGAAAGATGAGGAAAAAAAGAAGGATTGAAGAAAAAAAAATTATACCTAATATATCACCTTTAGAATAGAAAAGTGTAACATAAATAAAAGCGACCATATATATCTAGTATATATCTAGTATATTTATGGTTAGTCCAAATCTAATTATTTTTTATTAGCTAAATGACAAAGAATGAAAATTTGTCACACGAAGTATGCGAGCCTGCCACTTAGATTCAACATATTCAATTTAGAAAATGTATAAAATTCACCAAAATTCTATGTCAAAAACCAGAACTAGTTCATCAGAATTCTTTGTAAATTACCAGAACTAAGCAACCTTATCCTGAGCCGTACCTTCTGATGACAAACCAAGAAAAGAAAAAAAAAATACCAAAATTAAATCAAGCAGGCAACTATAGAAAAAAAAAAAAAAAAAAATATTGTATAGAAATGTACCCGAAAAATTAGCATAGCATTTTTGTCTAACAATAAAACACATGTGGTGAGGAAGGCAATTTTTCCTTTAAATATTATAGCAATTTTACTTAAGTTAATTTATGCATTTTCTGTCTTTCTAATTGGTAATGGTAGATGTGTTACACAAAGTGTGTTTTGAATTACAACGGGAATCTATGAACTGACTGAAGTGTTCAGTTCGTACAAGATGAACTAAACAAAATAAAAAATTACAACTAAAATGCGGACAGATTGAAAGCCGAGGCGATTGAAATCTTTCCGCAAGGCAAATACGCCCGTATAGTGCTGACGAGTCTTTGCGTAATGTCCCCAAAGATACAACGACAATACACTCGGAAGCTGTAGCACACCAGGCTTCAGAGTTCCAGCGAACGGATTCGAAGACGAGAACTGAGCACTATGATATGATGCATGAGGCTATGAGAGTATTCAGATTGCATGAAAATGTTGTGTACTTTCGTATCTCATTCAGTCTCTACACTGTTGTTGTCGTATGATTCTTAACAACGATGTAATGTGGAGTTTATATGATAATTTCAAGTGGTTTGGACGTAAATCATGCAAGAAAAACTCAACAGTGGCCCCGGTCCGAGGTGGACCGAGGTGAAAAGCCTTTATGGGCTGCTTCGTGTTTCATTGTAAAAATGTTGGGTTCCGAATCGAATCCCCTTACAAATATCAATGGCTACCTATTTATAGTAACCTTTTTTTATTCATACATTGAGATCCGTGCATCGTTTTGATACAAAAAGCTACTTTCGAAGGGCGGTTGGATCAGTGGGCCCTACGTGAATGAAGACAAATCTCGTAGATCGTGACAGGGGAATGTAGGCGCCTCGTCACCTGCTTTAGGAGGTGACGACCTCGGTTCGTGTTGACCTCGGTTTAGAACGACTTCGACGAGAGAGGATCACTTCGGTCTTTTAGGGTTGCACCGGTTTATGGTGCGAACCGGGATGACTCTAAGTTACATCGGTATCCGAGTAAAATTTGCTTATGGTGCTGTTTTGGGCCCTTAATTATAATTTACCGAGTCGGATGATAACAGAGAGGCCCCCAATATCGGCGGGCATACGAAGTGATGGCCGTTGGTATTGTCA